TCTTTTAACAAATGAAATAATTCTTTGGCCCAAATTACGAAGAAATTAACTTGTAAATACTAATCACAATATCTTCACCTCATTTTCCTTTTTGAAAAAAGAAAAATGTTCAAAAATCATTTTTCATAATTGACAATTGACTATATCAGACTTTCAAACCTTGAACAAACATCACATAGTGAGGTATGTTTGATAAAGATATAGTCCAGAGACAAAGGACAACTGCAAAGCCTGCATGACACTTGCAATTCCAAAGGGTTTTTTTCCCTTCTGAATGTACTTTTCCAGATATGCAGAGGACATTCTATTAAATATATTTCTATTATTAACAAAACTATTCAGGATTGATCCCTTAACTCATATAAATGTCTGAACCAGAATCTGATTTTTAGCAGGTCTTTAAAATTATGCTCACAATAATTACAAGCATAACTGATTGTATATTGTTTGCAAATAAGCAGATTCATATTTGGACTCACAAACTGAAGTGCCCAGAAATATTGTAGATGTTTGGGTTGGGGAAGGGTTTAGAGGCACTCTGACATTTGCTCCTTACTGTGTAATACAGTAGCTTCTTGAAATATCCATGAAAATTACTGTGTAGCTATTTAATTCAATAGGTTGAAAGTTCCGAAACAGATAATTATCAAAGGAACAGTTATAAAAACATTGACAAGCTTTTTGTATTACAAACCACACCTCACTCATTACTCAAACTTAAGTACTGATGCAAATTTGTATGCTATCTATCACTTTATAAATTATGTTTATTTTGTATCAGAGATTTAAAATGTTTTATAATACACTGAAACATAGATACTAAAATAATATTTCTCTAAACCCACGTAGAACACTCATAATCTTTGATATAATGCTGCCTTATTCTTTCTCATGGGTCACCATCCTTCTACATGATGAACATATGTGGACATGCTTTCATCTTCCAAAAATAGACCAGCATTTAGACAATGGAGTTAATTCATCTCCTTGGTACAAATTTTGCCAAAATGCAAAAAATACTGTGTTTTTTCCCAAATAACATAACCTATCAGGTATATTTGCTCTCTTCTTCGATAATATTCTTATCAGATGTTTGGTTTCTTTTTAATAAGAGTGTATATTTTCTATAAAAGTGACCTTTGATGGAATTATATATGTTGGCAAATAGGTCTCTGAAAATTTGCTAGAGGGCGCTTCATTATTTGAAAGATGATATTAAGGGAAAGTCATGGAGTACCTTATCTACTTTTTGGCTTATATTGTAGTTCTTGGGATGGAGTTGAGAGTCATGAATATAGCAAGTATGACTTGGTTTGAAAGTGTTTATAAACTTTCTTTCATATTCAAAAAAGATTGATTGCACAATCATGATTGGACTGGAATTGCCCATGTCTAGTATTTTATTAGAAAGTATGGCAGACTTATTCTTTATAAATAATTGGGCTTTTGCTGCTGTCCCATGGAGTTTGTTAAATTCAGAGTAAACACACCAGTGTCAATGGACTTACTTCAAAGGTACGTAGGTATAACTGAGAGCAGAAGTGGGCCCTCAAAAGCATGGGTGTTTGTTGTCATGGTGATGCTCACAGGATAAGAAACAGAATGGAAACAAAACTAGGATTTGAAAAGTGGCATGTAAACTACCCACTGTATTGAGTAACAAAATGGTCTGCAGTTGAATGATGCAAAGGTCCACTCATGGCACAGTAAAGATGAAAATAAATGTTAAACAGCTGCTTTATTCATGTCTGAAGTCTAGTTTGCACACTATGGAAGTAAAGGTTTGATAGAAAGACATGGACACATAGGGTATGTCTACACTTGCTCCCTAGTTTGAACTAGGGATGCAAATGCAGGCATTCGAAATAGTCAATGAAGTGGGGATTTAAATATCCCGTGCTTCATTAGCATGATTTCGCCAGTGCGCTAGTTCGAATCACAGTTGATTCGAATCATGAAGTGCGCACCGGTGAAATTATGCTAATGAAGTGCAGGATATTTAAATCCCTGTTTCATTGACTCTGTCAAATGCCTGCATTTGCATCCCTAGTTCGAACTATGGTGCAAGTGTAGACATACCCATAGAAAGGATGTTGTCTGAGGTTCTTAGTATGGTGATGAGGGCCATATATGTGAATAACACAGACAGATATATTAAAGTATTTATCCTGATAACATCACGGGGAGATAGGAATAATAGCATTTTCCCTATTTTTGTAGTGAGATTAAGGGTGCATCTACACAGCAGGGTTTAAATCAAAATAAGCTATGCAAATTGAGCTATAAAGTTTGAGTAGTTTATTTCTAAATAGCTTATTTCAAAATCGGGAGCATCTACACAGCACTTATTTCAAAATAGAGCACTCTTCCTCTGATTTCCCTTATTCCTCATACAACGAGGGTTACAGGAATCAGAGTAAGAAGTTCTCCAGCTTGACAGTACTTTGACATTATTTCGAAATAACTGCATGCTGTGTAGATGTGGACTAAGTTATTCTGAAATAATACTCGTTATTTTGAAATAGGGTATGTCTACACAGCAACATTAAGAGACTTCTCTACAGTTACGTAGGACATTGGTGGCAGAGGAGGATTTGAAACCCCAGTCTCCTGAATACCTGTCTCATCCTTTAACCACAAGGCCGTCCTTCCTTCCCCACGCATGATTAACTACTGTATAAAAAAATCTCAGAGGGGTAGCTATGTTAGTCTGTAAAACAACAGTGTTTGGAGGCATAAGTTTTCATGGGTAAAAAATACTGTCAGATGCATGGAGTGGAAATCACAGAGGTAGGAAGATATATACACTAGCATATCAAAAGAGGAGTTACTTGTCAAGTGTAGACAAGTGTTAGGGAAGCCAATTTAGTAAGAGTGAATTTGCTCCCAGCAGTTGATGGGGAGGTGTGAATACCTAGAGAACACCTGAGCTACCTCTGTGAATTCCACTCCATGCATCTGATGAAGTGGTTTTTTTTACTCATGGAAGCTTATACCCAAGTAAATGTGAAAGCCTTAAAGGTGCCACAGGACTCCTTGTTGTTTTTGTATGTGTATAATATAATATATATTGGTGCAGTGCTAAGGCAGATAATTTAACATGTGGCATGTCCTGACTTTCAAGCACTTCACTTTCCAATTGTGATGGTCTGTTAAGTGGTATTTTTTAAATTAAATGTTATATTTAATTTCTGAGCAATGTTAATGACTAATATGCATCAGCAACCATGTTAGGTTTTGTATACAATATTTCTCTAGAGAGAATATGAAATTATTCTTTCTAGGTAAAGCTTATTTCCATATATTTTTGTCATACTTTGTATCAGACATAATAGACTTTATATAATTGCCTTTCTTTTCTGCTTATACTATGATGCATTCTTCCTGCTAATTCTTGCTCTCTTACATTTTTAATTTTTTTAAAATAAACTGTTTAAACATGTAAAGTAAGTACTGCCAGGGAACACATCCTTATCACATAACCTGCATTAGTAACACATTATTTCTACTCCATAGAACCTTTGCACATGCCATCACACAAACAACATTAGTCTTATTTTACATGCCGGAGAAAACCCCACTGACACCGATGGTGCACATTTTAGAAACATGTCATGACATTCTGCTTCATATATTTGTTAAGGAGCAGGTCACTGTAATTTGATTCTAATAATTAACAGTTGGTGGGCAGGCCAGTTTAACATCGTGGCTGGTGTATATACCCAGCCCATAACATTTAGCAGACTAAGAGTCCTAAGTGTGTACACAGGGAATCTTTCATCCTCTGATTCCCTTTGAAGGTATTAGTGCAATACAGAACATCTTTTAGGATAGACACCTATGATAAGTGAGATATTCTGGTGTTCTGTAAGCTGTTTTTCAACAGGTGTAAATTGTCATACCACCATTCCATCAGCTGAATTTTCACCCCTGCCTACATAAGTATTTGAAGTGTGAATATTTGTATGTAATTAAGGGCAATATTTTAAACTTTGAGTTCTAAATCACACCCTCAAATAAGCAGATAGACATTTTGAACCTACAAATGCATAGTTTGCACATACAGGCCATTCATGTTGCAGTTATTTTATGGATGCAACTTAAGCATCAGTGTGCAAAAAACTGATCTGTTTCATTTAATCAGCTCTGAAAATTTGTTGCTGTCACATAACATTAAATTCCTCCAGCACTGGTTGAGATTTTTGAATTATTAATATTGATGGGACTCTTATCCCACAGATTTTTTGTCTCAGAGAGGTAACTGTGATAATCTGTATCTACACTCCCACAAAAGCTTATGTCCAAATAAATGTTAGTCTTTAAGATGCCTCATTGCTTTAGCAGAATTTCTGTGTGAGAATACTACATGTGATAGAAAGCTATCGCTGTTATGTACATATGGTGAAAGTAAAAGCCCTCTTTTTCAAACAATATTTAGAATGGAATTAGAACCTCAGTCAAAGCCAAAGATGGCCTAGTCGGCTGACATGGTTTAAAACACAGGATCAGCAGTACACCAGAAAGTAAGGTGGCTAGTATCATGTGTAACCATCTTTGGCTTGCCTAACTGGGAATCGGGTACCCATTTTTGAGGTAGGTAAACAGAGGTGGCCTTTCAGTGTCAGAGCAAGCAAGACACAAACCTGCAAACTTCAGGCCAGTGCATTAACCACTCAGCCACCACATATCTACTGAAACCTTACAGTAGCCTTTAAAAAAAAAACTTGGAAGGCACCATATGAACAACACATGGGCATCAGCGGGGGTAAGGTGAGAGATACTAAAGGAGTGAACATCATTGTTTATTATATCATTTAAAGTAATAATTGTTTGAATTTTGCACACTTTGAGAGAATCATAAGAAAACCTGTTACATTCTGCATGATATTTGCTTCTCTTCTGTACAATGTTTTCATACATTTTATCAATACATAATAAACATTTCCCCATACAGGTTGACTATTTGGTTTGTTTAATATAATATTGTTTCCTAAGCGATATGAAAGAACCATCATATGAAAGGTGTTTGTCATATAAATAGAAAAAGTATTGTAGAAGTATGCATTGGGACAAAACCACAACAGCAAGGCATTTCTGGTGGCCATCATTAAGTATGAAATTATTGTAGCTAAAATAACTATAATATTTCTAACATCTAGAGACAAATTTTCAAAAGAGCCATTGAAATTGCAGGTACAAATTTTGTGTGCACACATCATTTTGGAAACTTTTAAAATAACAAGCATACGCGACCATTCATACATATACATAATGTCTAAACTCCTAACACTGACAAGATTTCACATCACCGTGGAAATTAAAAATAAAAGCATATTGTCTCATTATGTTATCTGTCCCTCTAGCCAATCTTCAATTGTTCCCTGCAGTTTGTTCTTGAATACTGAGCTGTCTTGTCTAATTAAAATGACTCATCACTTCCTCCACATTTCTTGGAAGGCAAAGGTTGCTACATTTATTTCACAGCACAAATGTGTTTGTAAAATGTAAATCAACTGCACTCCTACAATTTTTTAACTAAGTGATCTTATCAGACAGAAACCAGCTTCAACGATGAATCACAACTCTGTACCAACAACATCCTGTCTCATTTGGGAAAATGTTTACCAAAACTTTTATGATGTATCTGTCTGATAATTAGAGCTGTCTGAAAAATTTCTTTTGAAATCACATTTTTAAAAAGAAATGGGATTGGAGAAGAATTTCAAAATTTTTTGCAATATGCCCCCACCATTTGCTGGCTCCCCATACTGACACTACTTCATGGCTACGTCTACACTGGCATGAATTTCCGAAAATGCTTTTAACGGAAAAGTTTACCATTAAAAGCATTTTTGGAAAAGCGTGTCTAGATTGGCAGGCTGCTTTTCCACAAAAGCACTTTTTGCGAAAAAGTGTCCGTGGCCAATCTAGACACGATTTTCTGCAAAAAAGCCCCAATCGCCATTTTCGCGATCGGGGTTTTTTTTGCGGAAAACAGTACTATGCTGTCTACACTGGCCCTTTTGGGCAAAAGTCTTTCGGAAAAAGACTTTTGCCTGAATGAGAGCAGCATAGTTTTTTTGGAAAAGCACTGATGATTTTACATTAGATCGTCAGTGCTTTTCCAGAAATTCAAATGGCCAGTGTAGACAGCTGGCAAGTTTTTCCAGAAAAGCTGCTGATTTTCCGGAAAAACTTGCCAGTCTAGACACAGCTGATATGAATAAACCAAAACCAGAATCTATATTCTCAAGTCAGTGATACAAAACTGGATATAAACCAGGGCAGGAAAGATACATCCTGGGGCTTTGTAGCCAGACAGGAACCCCCCTTGTAACATCCATTTTTGCTTGCCTGGAGCATCCAGGGCACACAGAGCAGAAGGCCCAGGCTGTGTGACCGTGAATGGCTGTAAACAGAGATACGCCAATTGCTGACCAAGAGGCTGCCAAGGAGTGCCCTTGACTCAAACCCATATTGATACGAACACACATCCATCCGCGGGGGGAGGAATCTCTCGCCCAGTAAAAAAATGTCTAGTGCTCACAATTTAGTTATCTCTCTTGCAAGTGTAAATTAACTTGAAACTTGCTTGTAAGAACTGGCGCCACAGAACAGACCAGTACAATTCGGCATCTTAGATAAGAAAGAGAATACGGGCCCCCAGGGGTATAAAGATAGGTCCAGCAGCGCATTCTCTTTGAGTGTCAATCTACCATCTATCTGCTGGTCGGGTTAGGTGTTTGATCTCCCGAGATTCCAAAGGGGACGCCCGCCTTGTATTCGTCTTTCCTAGGAATTGAGAGACCGGCCCTGGCCTGACACGCTGGAGTCGAGAGGCACAGAAAGGGGTAAAAATTGTACCTGGATGTGGTCCTTTGTTTAAGTATATATATAGTGTTAGAGCTCTTTAAAGATTAAGCTGTCACTTGGTACCATTATTTCTATTTTCTATCTTTACCTTTTTCCTGTAATCATTGTTAAGACCTATATATATATATTTGCTAGCATTTAAGAAATAGAGCAATAGCCATTGTAACCATATGATTTATAAGCTTCTTTAATAAACCTGTAACTGTTTAAGCTTTAACCTGACTCCTTCAATTGCTGTAATAGAACCAAGCACAATTTAAAAGAACTTCAGCCGGTCATAAAGGGACAGACATAGGGAGAGCTTGGGCGTTTGGATCTGTGTCACTCCCAGGTGACAAGATCTGTTGGGGCACCTTTTCAGCCTTTCCTAGGCTGCCCGCTGCGAAGGAAATAAACCTGTAACTGTTTAAGCTTTAACCTGACTCCTTCAATTGCTGTAATAGAACCAAGCACAATTTAAAAGAACTTCAGCCGGTCATAAAGGGACAGACATAGGGAGAGCTTGGGCGTTTGGATCTGTGTCACTCCCAGGTGACAAGATCTGTTGGGGCACCTTTTCAGCCTTTCCTAGGCTGCCCGCTGCGAAGGAACCCCTGTGTTCTAGCAGCTAAAATCTAAGGTGTAATAAGCTCTTCCTATATAACGGGGTGTCTGTTGGCCTGCTGGCCACCCTCTGCGACAGGACCCCGGTCCTAGCAGTAAAGACCGGACGTTAAACCTTTTCTCGGAAACACACACACACACACACTGCCCTGACCGTCGGCTGACAGGCTTATATCTGGCCTGCCAAACCTTTGGATCCAGCCTGCTCCACCAGGACCCTCAAACTGACTTCCGGTCTGCTGCAGCATCAGCCTCAGAATGGCCAGCTTATCGCTCTATGTGCTGCTGTGTACCATGCGCCCAGTGGGAGAACTTGGTATGCTGCCGTGCCCCCCACTCCAGCCCAATCATAATAGCTCTCCTGCCTGAAGTCATAACCCTCTCCTGCACCCAAACTCCCTCCCGGACACCACATCCTATACTGCACCCCAGCTCCTTTCCCCAAGCTCCCTTCTGCACTCAACCTCTGTCCCAGACCCCACAACTACTCCATAGAAAAGTGCAGCTCTTTACCACTTACCAAAATCTTGGAGTGCCGCCCCGCATCAAAAATTATTGCCTAGCCCTGTTTTAGTACCTCCAGCTAGGTTATATTTCCATAGTTCGTTTATAAGAAGTTCATGCAAGACAATATCAAAAGCCTCACTGAAGTCAAGATATACCACGTCTGCCACTTTCCCTCTATGCACAAGGCTTATTACCCTGTCAAAGAAAGTTATCAGGTTGGTTTGTCCTTAACATATCCATGCTAAATATTACCTTATTATCTTCTAGATCTTTGTCATTTGATTGCATAATTATTTGCTCCATTATCTTTCTGAGTACAGACATTAAGCTGACTGATCCGTTATTCCCCGGGTTGTTCTTATTTCACTTTTATAGATTGGTGCTGTATTTGCCCTTTTCCAGTCTTCTGGAATTTCTCCTGCCTTCTGTAACTTTTCAAAGATAATAGTTAGTGGTTCAGATATTTCATCAGTTAGTCCATTTATTATTCTAAGATTCATTTCATTAGGCCCTGGTGACTTGAAGACATCTAATTTGTCTATGTATTTTTAACATGTTCTGTCACTACTTTAGCCTCTGATCCTACC